AACCCCGGAGGGAAGGGGGGAAGAGACCCACGGGAAGGCCCGGAGGGAAGGCGGGAAGAGCCCCGAGGGAAGGCGGAAGAGCCTCGAGGGATGGCAGGAAGAGCCCTGAGGGAAAGGGGGAAGGCCCTGAGGGAAGGGGGGAAGGCCCTGAGGGATGCTGGGAGAAGCCCTGAGGAAAGGCGGGCACTTGGTACCCCCAAGGGGCTTGCCTCCTGCCCCAGGCACCCTGTGATTGAAGCCATACATATGTTTTTGGGGTTTTTCTTGTGAGGTTTGTTGATTTCTGCCACTCCCCCCCATTTTGAACCCTCACTCAAGCTCCCCGTGCTGGGTGGAGAGGCCCAAAATAGCTGCAGTGACCCAGGATCATGTCTGGGGAGCGCTGGTGCTCTGGAGGTCCTCCATGGCTCTGAGCAACTTGGTATCAGCCCTGCAAAGGGGGCGAGGGAATGGAGGAGACAGCAGCTGTGGCTGACTTGCCCAGGAGAAGGCAGCAGCAGAGCCACTCTCAGTCTCCTCCACTCCTGCCATCTATTTGAGCCTAGGTATGGAAATTCAGATGTTTTATCAAACTCAGCCAGCCTCCACAGCTGGCTTGTGGTGTTCTCCCTGCCCCAGAGCAGGGATTTTTGAGAAAGCCAGCAAAATATTTCTTAAGGGAAACCACAAAAATCCCAGAGATGCCATCAGGGCCAAGACTTCCATGCGGGAGGAAGCTGTGGGCGTGAGTTTCTTTTGGAGATGCATCAAGCAATCATGCCAATGTCGGTCTAAAATAAAAAGCAGGCCCCTGTGTTCTGCCGGTTTTGGTTAGCACCATCAAACACCCGAGGTATGGCAGAAGACCACCTGCCCCCCCAACAGGGCTTCTGCTTGCAGAAGAGAAAAAGCAGAGCCGAAAAGTTCATTGACGCACAGCGTCCAGACCCATCCATAATTGAGGGTTGTCATACAACTTCGTAAAAGTGTTTTAAGGACCCAAATTCACTTTTATTTAGGTAAAAGGCCTGTACAGAGACTGAAGAGCAATAAGTGTTCTTTAATCAGTCATTTATGGCTACATGCTCAAAAGCAAAGGTTAGCCCACAGGCTGTTTTGGGTAAATGATACATCAATTATAAGCTTGAATAAAGAAGGAGTTCTGCAGCGATGGCAATCACTCTTCATATCTGTGAGTGCGATGTGAAGCAAGGCAAAATTTTTTGAGCTTATGTCCTTCCAGGGCATAATTTTTCAGACCTGCATGGGAGAGAGGAGATTGCAGTTAGTCACACCTTCAGCTGTAATTATTTTAGAGGAGAAGCAGCATTAGGTGGCAAAGCATCCTGGTACACCTGCATCTCCCCAAGAGGAAACATCCAAGTTTTTCCGATTCACAAAGTCACTTTGATGCATGATTTCCTCTTGGTCTAAAAGCCATCAACATCTTCAAGTGAAGTTTTTCCAATTAATATTTAACATCCTCTACCAGGGTGAGTAACTAAGGCATTGCAACTATGGCATCTTGTATCTAGTTTTTCCCTACCTGGGGTTAAATTTTCTCAATTGCTAAATCCAGACTGGTTATGTCCAGGTTGTCTAAAGAACCTAGAACTCTAAAGACTGCCATGAATAAAACCCCAGGCTGCTTTGGTTTGGTGTAAATTCTATGTTACCAAGGTGACACGCAGCCTGCCCCGCCCCCCTAGTCACTGGGAATTTCCAGTTCCTCCGGGAATTTCCAGTTCCTCCTCGCCAGGCGGGAAGATAGCACCGAGGGATCTGGAGAGGAGCCAGAGGACAAGCAACAACCCCAGCAGACACACCAAAGATGCGCAGGGAAGTTTTGCTCCAAGGAGTTCCTTTCCTCTGAGTGAAGGAGATTCTTTTAAGCAAGATATCACTGAGAACTGTCCAAAATATCTTTATTTTTTGTGTGTGGTTGCTTTTGTTCCTCAGTGCTGCAAGCTATGCGTTTCCCCAGAACTGAAAGCAGTCTGTGGTCCCCTTATCAGCACTCATCAGCATAACTCACCATGATTATTTCAGGCGCAGCTCAGAAGTCAGGGTCTGCAAGAAAGAAGGGGTGACAGTGTTAGGCTGTGGGTCACCACCATCAGTCCTTCTTTTCCCAAATAGAAAATGAAAAAAAAAAACCAAAACCACTAGATGGCCCACTGCTTCCCAGGCAAGTTCATCTGGAAAGAGATCAAGAGTACCCAGAGGTTTTGTAGCATGTCCAAAGTAAAGCGATAAAGCTGGTCAAGGGTCTAGAAGACGTGTTATGAGGAGCAGCTGACAGAGCTGGGGCTGTTCAGCCTGGGGAAGAGGAGGAGACCTCACTCCCTATGGCTCCCTGAAAGGTTGTAGCAAGGTGGGGCCAGCCTCCCAAGTAGCAAGCGACAGGACAAGAGGAAACAGCCTCAAGTTGTGGCAGGAAAGGTTTAGATTGGATATTAGGAGAAATTTCTTCACAGAGAGGGTTGCTAAGCCCTGGAACAGGCTGCCCAGGGCAGTGGTGCTGTGACCATCCCTGGAGGTATCTAAAAGCCGTGTAGATGTGGTGCTCAGGGACAGGGATTAGCGGTGGACCTCGCATCGCAGCGTTAATATTTGGACTCGACCTTCAAAGTTTTTTCGAACCTAAACAATTCTCTAACACAAAGGCAAGTCTTTCCTGCCTGCAAGTCGTGGATACAAATGAACAAGCTCTGGCTGGACGCCACTGAAGCGGGAAGAGGAAAACACGCGACATACCCCATCGGTAAGACTGCGGCTCTTTGAGGGTCGAGTGGGTGACCCTGCAGACATACTCCTCGCCCCTCCTGGGGGAGAACGGGGCGTAGACCAGGCGCTCAAAGTTCCACTTCTTGTCGAATGACATGTCGGCATAGGTCACGCCGCTCATGGGTTCCCCATTCCGCAGGAGCTCGATGTTGATCTTTGGAGGGTGGAAACCACTCACAAAGCAGTTGAGGGTGTTCTCCTCCCCTTCCCCAGCATGCCTGCGGGAGTACACCTCCACCTTTGGCGGCTCTGTCGAGGGGGAGGGTAGAAAGGGGGATGGATTGAGAATTAAGGCTGCACCAACCACCCACATGGGGTTTCCCACCCCAATCA